TTGTTCTTATTTATTGTTGTTAAACGAAATTATAACGACATGGGGTATTTAGAATTATTTGTATATATTAAATATTATGTGAAATTGATTGTAAAGATAGAAGAAAATTGAAGAAAAAATAGAAGTTGTATATCCTTTTTGTTGAGAGAAACGAAATCGTAAGAGGCGGTTCCTTTTTGTTGGTGATAAGGAAAAAGAAAAGATCCATGTGGCGCCACCTTCTTATATTTCTATATATAGGAAAAAGTAAAAGTCCCAAAGCCCCCTTGAGCCCATTTACACATACATATTCAGGGCTTTTATATCTAATGGGTCCTTATATATGTTGGGCCTTTACAATATTTACAAATACAAATGTAATAAAACAAATATAACCGCGCAGGGCCCAATAATAATAACAAATAACTGTTTCGACTGGTATTTTTCTTGTCAGCAATTACTCTGTATGTGGAGGCGACTTCTTTGTGATATCCGAGTCGGGCTGGCGGTTTCTGGAAGCGGACAATCTTGCCTTATGAGAACTCGATCAATATAATTCAAATGGAAGAACTTGCTATTTTATATTTATTTAATATATATCCACATGTTGTATCTTAATAGGTGGGGCCAAAATTGGGTGACAACAGTATGCCCCCGACTTTAGGGGATGTTCTGAATAGAACTGTCCTGAAGTCGCATGTGTAATCAATTATGGCTGACTTTTACTTTATAACATGCTCGAGCTTAAGGCTTTTTATGTTGTGGTAAATGACGTACGAACGCTGTCAGGGTGCTTTGAGACCCGTGGTCGCTTTATTGATCGGGTTCAGGCTTCGGCCTGACGTTTTGACGTTAATCATATTTTTTGTTCTAACGAATCAAATCGTGGCATAAATAACTCATTCGTTGGAATTGTTACTGGAATAGAGCCTAAGTGGCCTAGTTGGGTTATTTCGTACCCGTTTTTGGAGTTTTGCATGTTGTGTGAAGCGTTTGATTGATTTGCTTCTGTAATGATGATAATAGTATGTATTTGTGTGGGCACTCAGGCACCTCGAATTGTTTATTGTATTCGCGATTTTGTCAAATTCAGACGACGCAATTTTTTATTTTGTGATTGTTTTTCTTCGTAAGATGGACCTGGTCAGATAACTCAATATCTAGTCTTTAGTCTTATTTTTATTTAATTATTTCTCGATCGGCTAGTGTGCTCCCGATTTTGATGTAATTTGTAGAGGGCGTTAGCCTCGCCAAACCAACTTCAAGGTTTGGAAAAGAATGGGCATGTAGCCTCTTCAAACCAACTTCAGGGTTTGGAAAAGAAGTTTTTATGTCAAGATGTATGTATGACGCACATATGTGATATGTATATGTGGCGCGCGTATGTGAAGAATGTATGAATGTTGAATGCATTAATAAGTATACAGATGCATAATGCGCATGTGCAGTAAATGATTAATGTACAATAAATAAGGATACCTTGATGTTTTGTCGAGTCTGACCTTTTGCCGGTAGGTGCTGTGCCTTGCGGGCCGTACCAAATCAACTTCAGGATTTGGCGAAAGAATATGCGTTGGTCGTATCAAATCATCATCAGGATCTGGTGTCATTGTGGACTTTAGTCTTCCCAAATCAACTTCAGTATTTGGTATTAATGTAGATTTTAGTCTCTCCAAATCAGCTTTGGGATTTGGCATGTGTTAGACTTTAGCCCGACTAAATTAATGGAGTCGGTTTTATTGTAAGCCTGCTAATTCAACTTTAGGATTTAGCAACGAAGGGCACCAGCCTCCCCAAGTCATCTTCAGGACTTAGAAGTATCTGGCTGTTTTGCGTTAGCCTGTCCAGGTCATCTGTGGGACTTGGAAACATTAGGTTTGTGTAAAGTGGACTTATTTTTCGAGAGTCCATTGGCCGAACAATTTTTCGAGATTCGGCTATCAATCTTCTTTTTTTTTTACGGCTGGAGCAGAGGCTCGACAGCGAGATAATTTAAAAACGTCAGCTCAAACGGAGTCGAAGATCTACGGCGAGCATATATGAAGACGTCTGCTGCCGGAGTCGAAGATCTACGGCGAGCATATATGAAGACGTCTGCTGCCGGAGTCGAGGCTCTACGGCGAGCGAATATAGAGACGTCGGCTCTGCCAGAGTCAGAGTCGAGGCTCCACGGCGAGCAAAATAGAGACGTCGGCTCAGCCGGAGTCGAGGCTCCACGGCAAGCAATATAGAGACGTCGTCTCAGTCGGAGGCGTGGCTCAACGGCGAGCGAATAGGAAGACGTC